GTTCCCCGAGAACCGAATTCTGAGCTTCAAAATGTTATTTTTTTTGTTTTTTCTTCTCTGAATTTGGTTCCCCGGGAACCGAATTCTGAGTTGTTTTAATATTTTTTTTTTCCGAGTTTGTGGGGGATTTTGGGCAGATGTTGGAAGTGGAACGGCCCGTTCCGAAAGCAGTACGGGCCGTTCTGCTTAAAGCCACAGAGTCATTTTTTTGAAATTAAAACGGCCAAGAACGGGCCGTTCCAGAATTAAGATTTAAAGGAAAAATTGACCCATGAAACGGCCCCTCCCGATTTCAAATTCAAAAACAAAGGGAACTTTGCTTTCCCAAACACTATCAGCAGTAGGGGTGGCAAAACGGGTCAGCCCAGCCCGTTTTGGCCCGGTCCGCCAATAGCCCGTAAAAAACGGGTGGCCCAGCCCGGGCCGTCAATAGAAAAACACATTGGGATAGCTAGCCCGCCCCGCCTAAGGACGGGCTAGCGGGTCTGCGGGCCAGCCCGCATACCACAAAAAAATATTACAAAAAAATTTAAAAAAAATATATTATGTTCAAATAAAAAAAATTGCTACAAATAAATAAATATAATCATATGAAATTAAAAACTAATACATTTTATATACAATATATGTTCAACAAAAACAAATTACAAACTTATAACAAAATCAAATAGAAATTAGTCCACTTACACCAAAATCAAAACCAAATTATAAACTTACAAATTATTAATAAACTAAATTTTTGATAGTCCACGAAACAAGTCAAAACACAATTAATCAACTTTAACTTTCTATTTCAAAAACATTAAAAGCTCCGTTGGAATATAAATAAATTAAACATAAAAAAAAATTAAATATAAAAAAATTAAAGTATGCAGGCTGGCGGGTTGTGACGGGTCAGCCCGCTATTTGGCCCAACGGGCTGGCAGGTTTGGCGGGTTGAAATATTGGACCCGATCCGCCAATTTTTGGCGGGCCAACAGGTCGGCCGACGAGTCAGAGATTGTTTTGCCACAGTAAGGCTCCTAATACTCAAGTTAGTGAGATTTCAAGAAAACAAAACAAAAAATTATTATATATTTAAATAAAATATTATTCTAAAAAGGTTTAATAACAAAAAATAAAATATTTAAATTTTATAAAAAATATTATTCTAAAAAGGTTTAATTATATTTTTAATTATCTAAATTTAAGGTAATTATCTTTTTATCCCTCAAATTTAATGGTAGTGTTTGTAGACTTTATACCGTTAAAAACATTGTATTAGTCCTTATATATAATTTTTTTGACTTTCAAATTTAAATATATGTGTTTTTAGTTTCAAAAATATAAAAATTATTATTTTAGTCCTCAAATTTTAAATTTATACTTTTAGTATTTGTAATTTTTAAAATAATAGTTATAATTTTCTATGACCACTAATAATATAGTTGATGATAACAAATTGAAATAATAATGTAGTATTAATTGATTTAATGTGATATTTTTGTTCATAATGACAATAATAGAAGAATTTATTGTGACTTATAATTATAAATGACATTTGAATAGATAGACTAAAATAATAATTTTTTTTATATTTTGAAGACTAAAAATACAAGTTTTAAATTTTATATATATCTTAAATTCGGATGACTAAAAACATAATTAAGTCTTTTAAAAAAATAAATTTATTAAATTTAAAATATTTAAATTATACTAATATTTTAGTCTATGCAATGCACGTGCATGTTTATTATATAATTAAAATTTATAATAAATTGTATATAAATAAACTTATGCTTTAACATATAAATTATTTTTGAAAACAAATAACCAAACGTACATTGGTAAGACGGGACAACTAAGTAAATAAATATGAAATTTAATATGTTTTTTATTTCTTAATTTTAAAAATTTGTATTTTTAGTTATTCAAATAAATTTATTTAATTTAGTCTTCTTTACACAATCCAAATTAGTTAGAAATTGTTTTTTTAGGAGAAATAGTTCTCAAAACTGATAATGATCATAAAAAAATACGACTATTGTACTTGTATTTTCTCCTGAATGATCAATGAACAACTATAATTGCATAATAAATTTAGTTCCTTTTAATGTGGTTATGGTATTGTTGGTTGATTCACATACGAGGGTTGTCACTATAGATTTTAATCAAGTTTATGAATGAACATGCAAGCCATTTGTTTGTTTTTCTCCAGTTCTTATCCACATGGTCTATACAATATCTTAAAATTGATAATTAAATATTAAGTTGTGCTCATGAAACGACTTTTTTTTATGTTTTAGACTTTTTCATTTCAAAATTTTTAATATTTTATGTTAAAAAATATGACCTAACCAAAAAGGGGGTAAATTGATTTTTCAAAGTTTTTTACACAACTTTCTGTTTTTTTTTTTAACTTTTCTTAACTTTTTTAAGAAGTGTGTTGACTTATAACTATTAGATAAAATTCTTAGTTCATATTTAATACAAGTTTAGATTCATTCAATTCTTAATGTAATGAACATGTTTAACAACACATGTCAATAAGTATGAAAATATAAATGCAAAAATATGAATTCAATAGTAGGAAAAAGAATAATGCAGAACCAATTTTATATTGATTTAGTCACTCGTGACCTACATTTAGTCCCCAATCAACCCGATTGAGATTTTTTTACCAATCTTTAATGTCAAAAATTTTACAATCACAATATTATATGCAATACAATTATATATTAAATAACCTACTTGGTGAACCCCAAGAAGCACCTACTTGTAACATCCCACTGCAAGATTTTCTCCACTTAAGAAACACATGTAAGATAACTACAATTATATAGAATTAATGGAATAAATTCACCTGATTTACAAAACAGATCAAAAAAAGGTGAATCAATAATGTAGTTTAACCTTTTACCCAATAAAGATGATGATCAACTAAATTCTTTGAACTTTTTTGAGGTTATCACAAAGTTTGAAGAATCTTTTTCTTGTATAGAGAAATGTGTTATAGAGACTACTTTTCGTAAAATGATATCACAAAGATTCAAGTTCTTAGTATTCTTCTATGCCTAAGGTGTGAAAAATGATATATACAAGTTTTCTTATTGAAATAATTAATTATTTACATAGATAATCGATTATTCTGTTCTTAACAATTATAAAAATCAACCAATAACATTTTGATCGATTATTTTGAGTAATAATCGATTATTCCAGGAATATATTTATGAAATAATCGATTACTTTGATGAATAATCAATTATTACAACAATTGTTCTTCATGAAACTAAAAAACAAAGTAAATAATTGATTTTTACTTAAAATGATCGATTATTTTAAGTGAAAACTTAATATTTTAATTTTTCACATCATTTCTATTTACAAATGAATATTAACATTTGTCTAAGTCATCAATCAACATTTAGATAATGATAAAATGTTAGGTTACTCACCAAACACAAAACACACAAGCAAAAAAGTTTAAAATCACACAATACAAGATACAACTTGTGCTTTTATTTATCAAGAGACTCAAAGCACAAAGTAAACTACATGTTGCACTTTTGTTTCTCAAGAGGCTCATTTGTAATCATCAAAATCAACTTCATATTGAGTTTGATCTAACATTTTGCACATTTAAAGTGATATTTATTACCTTTTTTTTTACAAATATCCTTATTTGACAATTGTAAGGGCATTTTAGACTTAACATATTAATATTAAATACTTATTAGGAGGTGACAAAAACCTTAAACATAAGCTTTATGGTTTAAAGGGTGTGTGTATGGAGAGGGTAAATTTACTTATTTTAAGAGTAAATTAACTTAAATTTATTTCACTTAATAACTTATTTTTACATTAAAATTCAATTGCCTAATTGTCAAATTAAAAGTTTTTAATGCGTAATCTAATATACAAAAATTTAAAGAAATTTAAAAGTATTTGGTACTTTGTTTTATAAATTAAAATTAATATATAAAATATTTTTTATGGTTATTCGTCAAATTAAATTAATAAAATAAAGTATCAAATAATCTTCAATTTAAAAAAAAAATATGTAAACTCAATATATACATTAAAAAAATTTAATTTATCAGTTTAATCGTTAAACTTTAATATAAAACACAACTTATTAAATGAAGTAAGTATTTAGAGTAAGTGAATCCCTCGTTATATTAAGACAGTTTACATCACCATTCACATAACTTTTGTTAAGTTATTAATTATTGAGACAATTTAGTGAGAATCGTCACAATGTATAAAAAATACGTAAATAAAGAAAAAAGTCCTTCAATTTTCTTCCACTAAAATTAAAAACCCGCGTTCCCTTTTCACATAAATCCTCCCTTTAATAGAATTGTCAAAATAGGTGATGATCCAAAGTCAATCGGGGTTTTATCCGAATTGAGCTAATTTTTTTATATTACAAATATTAGTAAAAAAAATTACAAATGTTAATAATGTTAAAAAGGCTCATGATATATACACTTCCTTTTTTTCTAAGTACACCTCCTTTATATATATTTTTTAAAAATTATAAAATATTGTAGTTTTTTTTTTAAATCTTCTATGTTTACACCTTTAATTTTCAATTTGCTACTTTCTTCTTCTTTTTCACACACTTTTTTTTCTCTTTTAATTTTCATATGCTACCAAAATAGGTAGGGTGAAGGAAAGATAAGGGAGTGCATGTAAAAATTGAAAAAAAAGAGGGAAGATGTGTGAAAAAAAATACTAAATTAAATATTGTGGATGTAAAATTAAAAAATTAAAAATTAAAAAATTAAAAATTAAGAATATTTAAAATTAATTTTTTTTTAAAAAAAAAGAGGTGTACTTGTAAAAAAAATGAGGTGTATATATCATGAACCTGTTAAAAATTCAGCTTGACCGATTAAAAACTCGACTCACCAACCCACTAATGCAAGAAAAAAAAAAGAGCCCACAGAAGTGTAAAAAAAAGTTGAAGTCCACAACAGCCTAGTGAGCCCAGCCCACGAAGGTTACACAAGGAAGGGACAGAGGGAGTGACGGACGGCTCTCATTTTTCTCTTCCGCGGTTCCGCCGCTCTTTGGGTGATTCGTGACGACGCAGCGCCACCGGGCGGCCGCCAACCGCAAACTGCTAACATATCTGTCTCCACTCGAGAACCCCCAAACACGAGACTCTTTCATAACCGGCCAAAACGGAAGTCAGTCTATCTGTGTCACAATAATCCCAAACTCTGTTTGGTGGGCATATTCTTGTGTACTGGTTTTAGCCCTCAGCATTAAATTCTGTCAAAAAAGCATGCAATATAATTTTTCTTCCAATAGTATATGCCTTTTAATATACACATTTTGATTTTCAATATTTGTTGCAGTGCCTTGACTAATCCAAACTATATAGAGCTAAATCAATTGTTTGGAAAATTCAAAGTTAAAAGGTATGTTGGTGTTTAATAGTTTGTTTTATTTTATTATTCATCTTACTCTTGTCTTCATTCACACTTATATTGATTTCCAAATTAAGAAAATACAATATTTGTTGTCAACTCTTCCAATTGGCTCATGTCTTTATAATAAGATGGTCCAAGTTTTGATGCCTCTTTGGCCACTCTCTTCGCGACAATGATACAAATTACAATGACGATGATGTTCCACTCCCAAAAAACAAGGTAACATGCTTTCCTTTTTTTATTTGTCGGAGATTTTCCTACATTTATTTTAATTTTTTTTAAACAGATAATTTCATTTTTGAATGGTTTCATTTCAATTCAATCTTAGCTAACATGGCTTTCGGTGGTTGACACTTCATTGTTTGGGTGCATCATATAGCCTGGCACCTATTCTACGAAATGCATAAGCGAAAAACAACTCGAATCTTGGAGCCATCCACCTTGTTGTGAGGAACTAGCATTACAAGCTTCCAAAATATATACTATTTTGAAGTATTATAATATAAATTGGGGTTATGGGTAGTAAAACTATGTTCAAGTGGCCAAAGCAAATCACAAATTCCCTAGTTGTGCAGTTAATTAAAGCAGAAAAAGATGTGCACAAAGCTTTTAATATGTTTGATTCTGCAACTGCTGAATACAATAATGGGTTTCGTCACGATCATGAAACGTTTGGTCTCATGATCTCTAGGTTAGTCACTGTGAACCAGTTTAGGACAGCAGAAGGGATGCTGGAGAGAATGAAGCAAGAAAATTGTAAGGTCACAGAGGAAATATTTTTAACTATATGCAGGGGTTATGGACGCGTGCACAGGCCACTTGATGCAATCAGGGTTTTTCACAAAATGGAAGGTTTTCTGCTTAGGCCTACTCAAAAAGCTTACATTACAATACTTGATATTCTTGTGGAGGAAAACCATGTAAAGAGGGCTATTGGTTTTTACAGGGAGATGAGAGAAGTGGGCATTCAACCTAGTGTTGTTTCCCTCAATATCTTGATCAAGGCCCTGTGTAAAAACAGGGAAACTGTTGATTCTGCCTTACGGATATTTCGGGAGATGCCCAACCGTGGATGTCAGCCAGATTCATATACATATGGTACCTTGATAAATGGGCTGTGTAGACTAGGAAAAATTGGTGAGGCAAAGGAACTATTGAAAGAGATGGAGCAGAAAGGTTTTTCAGCTTCTGTTGTTACCTATACTAGTTTGATACATGGCTTGTGTCAGTCTAATAATTTGGATGAAGCAATAGGATTTCTTGAAGAGATGAAACGAAATGACATTGAGCCAAATGTTTTTACGTATAGTTCTCTGATGGACGGTTTATGTAAAGGTGGTCATTCGTCGCAAGCAATGGAGTTATTAGAAGTGATGGTCAGAAAGCACCATTTGCCTAACATGGTCACTTATAGTACTTTAATCAGTGGATTGTGTAAAGAAGGAAAGGTACGTGAAGCTGTGGAGATTCTTGACAGGATGAGGATTCAAGGTTTGAAACCAAATGCAGGATTGTATGGGAAAATCATATGCGGCCTCTGTGCTGCAGGCAACTATCAAGAAGCTGTAAATTTTATTGATGAGATGGTGCTTGGCGGTATCTCACCAAATCGAGCAAGTTGGAGCCTTCATGTTAGGATGCATAACATGGTAGTCCAGGGCCTTTGTAATAATGTTGATTCACCTCGTGCATTTCAGTTATATCTTTGCATGCGCACTAGGTGCATCTCTGTTGAAATTAACACTTTTGATTGCTTGATCAAATGTTTTTGTAAGAGAGGAGACCTGCACAAAGCTGCTCGCATTCTTGAGGAGATGATATTAGATGGATGCATTCCAGATGAGGGAATATGGAATGTAGTAATACCTGGACTTTGGGATCGAAAAAAGGTAAGAGAAGCCACTGAGCTACTGCTGGCAGAGTTGAGGCAGAAGTTTATTGAAGCTGAAAGTTGAAGTTTGTGGGTCCACAGAATACAGATATACATTGCATTCTTACTGAAAACCTTTGGCATCACATGGTCCCCTGACTGTAAAAGGTTGTTACTTGGTTGCTAATGAAATGTTTTATGCACAGAAAGCTTGCTCATTAATTTATTATTGTATTTAATCTCAGTTAATTTTGTGCTGAGCCCATTAATGGTGTGTTTGTTATTTGTGCCAAGTAAATCTGTGAATATTTCTAGTTTGTTTAGCTGTCTCTTAAGGGCTATGATTTGATCATCATGTGACTCCAGCATTAACATAGAAAAAAAATATATTTTCAGAAATTGTTGAAAAAATAATATCTCCTGGCAATTGCTGTAACCTTAGAAACCCCCTCAAGTCAGGAATTGAATTTCAGGAAATTATTGGTTTCCAAGTGTATAGAATAACACAAGTACACTGGAATTGGATTCTTCTAGTCTTTTTTGATTTTGGAACTTTATGTAATTATTAATGCCCGTCTAAATTGTTGCATCATGGAATTTGAATAAAAAATAACTTATTGAAAAGATAGTTTTATCTCTAGCTTTTACAGTTTTGACAGCTAATCTATTGCAGATCCAAACTAAATTTTTCTACTTTTTTTTTCAGTGACTGAACATATGCTGTCTTTTCAATTCATGATCTCACTTCCTCATCTGAAATGGTTGAGTTCTCTGATGATCAATATCTCCGTGACCAGATGATTAAAGCTTCAAATTGAGAAAGTAAATATGCTGTGTGCAAGATTTACAAATAAGCTTATTCTTGGGGGCGACCTTATATTTCACATAACGATCTGATATATAGTTAGCATTATCACTAAATCTTGGGTAAACTACTAGATTGACTTATTTAATAAACACTCTAGAACATGTACATATTCGGGCTGAAAATTATCAAGTTTTTGTGGCTGTGTGCTTTTAAATTTTAGCTAAGCAGTGGTTCCTTACTATCGGATGTAAGACTATTAAAGAAAGATACGTTGTTAAAGGTGAGGTTCAATTCGCTGAAAAGTTGCTCAAGCAATCAATTCTATATTAAAAGAAAAACTTGGCATAACATATTGCTTGCGTGATCAAGATAGTGCTTATGTTCTAACTTGTAAATAATGGATTGATGGAGAAGTCTTTCTAGTGCTAAGTTTAAGTTAGGTTTAGATTTCAATACATTAAACGAAGGTATTGGGGAAAAAATTAAATTGAATAATATACGATTTAAATAATGAGTTTTGATGTAATTTGTTCCAAACACAAGACTTGATCAATTAAATTATTTAAATCGGTAACAAAGATGAGTACAAACGAGAATTTGACAATTAATTTGTTGAAAGGGGGAAGCCAATTCCATGTCTCTGGGTAGGAAATGTAACAAAGAACATGCCGCTGAAAACGCCAATACCCACTGGTAATGCTGTGAGGATTTCCTGTGTCTCATTTGACGGTGCTGGAAAGAAGCAGTTCACCACATTCTGATCAAACAATGCAATTGCTGCAAATACCAAAACTGACATTACTGCATGCATGAAATCTATAAACTTTAGGCGATATTTTGCAGAAAGTTGAGGTGGAAGGGTGGTTGATCCATCAATGACCCACAAGCCCCTGAGGGTGGCTAACCCATAACAGATGTTCCGCTTGTTGTCTCTGAAGCTATCAGTTAAACACAGCAAGAAGCACGAGGCACCGCAGAGAGATACAAGTGCAGCAGTCATGACCTTGCTGACAGAGTCACAGTTGCCAATATTTGTGAAGATTGGGGACAGAAGTTGGAAAGCAAGGACTGTACCAGTTGGTAATAGGTTGGCCGAATGGGCAGTGCTCTGAAATGTCTGGATTAAAAGTTTCTATTTTTTAAAAATAGATTCTTTTTTTTTTTTTTCACCATTAAATCCCATTTAAGAATCGGTATTTGAACTGTACAACCGCAGGCCGAAAAGAAAGAACTGATTGGGTTCCCCCAATGTTTGCTTATATGACATACAGGCTTTGTCCAACTTCTTTTAAATAGTAAAGCCCAGTATGTTCAGTTCGGGTTTATCCCTGTTCTAGTTATAATTGCTTGCTCATAGCCCATCCCTAATTCTGATTGAACCACCAAAGTTTCTTTCTTCATTTCCGACTTCTGTCTTCTGAGTATGTACCGCAGCACCTCTCAGCAAGCTTATATCATGTATAATTTTCGCTTGGTTTGCAATTTGGATGAATAGAAAAAAAAATTGTATTGATAATGAATTTTTTTAGTGTAAATTTATTGACTTTAAAGTCATAATACCAACATAATGTATATGTATTAAGGTCCATATGGTGGTCAGTATATGATTATAATATAAGAGTAGGATAAACTTTAATCATGTCTAATGTTTTATGCATACCAAGTTAACAAACTCAATGACATTTTTATAATAGTTGTGACTAAAAGGATATGATATAAATTATGTTCAAATTACAAAATTATTTTTCATTAAAATTACATTTATAATTTTTAAAAATGTAAAGTCTAATTTAATTGTTAAAAAATTATCTAAATTATAAAAAAAAATATATAATTTTAACTATATTATACATGTTTTTTATTTTGGTAGTTACTTTTCTTTAAACTACAAAATAATTATGCAATTTTTTAATTAAGATTATTATTCAAATAATCTTTAAATTTTATGTACAATAATTATTTATTTTTCTATTTTGATTAATAATATATTTCAAAATTTACATGTCAAAATTATTATAATCATTTTTTTTTTGTTAAGAACTCGCTTTTTTTATTATAGTTTTTGTATGAAAACAATTCTTATATCATGTCATTTACGCTAGAATCCAAAAATTTAGAAGAAAATATTCTTATATCATGTCATTTACGCTAGATTTTGTAGGATTCAGCAAGACTTTCAATCAGGATTTTAATAGATTATGTAAGACTTTTAAGTTATGACTTTAATGGATTCTGTGGGACTTTGTGAAATTTGCAAATACGATAAAAGTTTAAGATTTTTTTTCATACATTCAAATTTAAAAAAAGTCAAAGAGAAAAAAAATAATAACAATGTCCGGATAAATAATAATAATTCTCCATAATATCATGTCATTCTAAATAGCATTACCCACATATATAGCTATACTAGTCCTCCAAGCATTAACATTTTTTCGCTCTTGCTCCTGAGTTTTAACAATAGGCTCAAAATTATGTTTTTCATTAACCGGTAATGTTGAAGATGAAGATTCATCTACCACTCCAATTGAAAATTCATCAGAATGACATTCTTTACGAAGAAAGTTATGCAGTGCTGCACATGCTAAAAATTATTCTAAACAACATTTCAATTTTTTTTAATTTGTGATTTAAAATATTTAATTTATAAATATCTAAATAATTAAAAAAATAGTGGGACAGTTACCCTACTCTCTTATAACTAAATGTGTCCCTTCATTTTATATTGATATGAGTGAAAATTTGTCTTTTATACAATTTTATTCATTTAAAATATCTTAGAAATTTACAAACATCAACTAGGAGAAAAAAAAATATATGAAATTTGTTATAAATATAAAATATTTTTTTTTATTTTTTAATTGCTTTCAATTATTCACTCATGAAAAAATATATTTTAATATTGAATTTTAAGATATTGTAATGTCTTATGTTAATTTTCTTTTTTAAAATATAAAAAACCCTAATTTCTTAATATAAAAATTAAAAAAATAAAATTCATAGCAAAAAAAAGAAAAAATAATTGTTGAGTCAAAAAAGGAGGAGAATAACAGTAACAAATTCAAGAGAGAGAGATTGCAATTTTTGTGCTTAGAGGATTCTTCCCTCAACTAAGATCCATTTTTATCTCATTCTATTCCCAGAAACCCTAACTCAAATTCATTATATATATATATATATATATATATATATATTGTTCTAATAAATCTAAATTGATTAAAAAATATCTACAGTCTATTATAGAGATCATAATATCAATTTTATCTTTCACTTTTCCCTTTTCTTGACGCATGTTATAAAAAAATTATTACTTAAAAGTTGAATTTTCAAGTGTTTTCTATGTTATATAACTGAGGAACAATCTCAACTTAATAGAGCAAGTCAATTAAAGAGAGCGGAGAGAAAAATAGAGCAAGTCAATGACACTATCACTTATGTATAGAAGTTTCACCAAATAGGAGAACGGAATAAGAATAATAATATAATATTATAAATGAACAGTAGTGCAATATTATTAGCAAGAGAAAAAAATGGAGGAGACATCAGCATAGAAAAAAAAGAGATAAAAAAACTAACTTGAAAATTCTTAAAGTACTTGAAAAGTCACTTCAAACCATCCTCCAAAATTTCATAGGTTTGGATGGAATTGTTTTATAAATTTGGTATTTATCCACTAAAAAATTCCTTCAAAATCCCTCTAATATAACAATCCTTTAAAATTCCTGTATTTTTTAATATCAATGAATTATTTTTAAGTTGTAAAAAGTTTCAAATGAATACCAATAAATTTTAATGAACTCTTTAAAATATCTTGAAAATTCAGATTGAATACCACTAAATTATTTTGAAGTGACATAAAATCCTGATTGAATACCAATAAAATTTTTTACTAAAAAAAAATCTTTTAAAATCTTATAAAATCTTAAACCAATACACCCCCTTAATATATATCAACGTGTAAAAAACACATATATTGTTTCCCAATTACGAATACATAACAAAACAGCGTGCGATACACACAATAGTTTTAACATAAAATTATTTGAATCAGTTTGTGTCGTAAATGCCACTATGCAATAGTATAAGATTTTTTTGGGAAGCAGGTAATTATAATTTAAAAATTCAATGTTTCAAGTTCTAGATTCATTTGCCATGTGTGCTATTGATAATCACAAGAACATTTTTTTAAGACCCTGATGATGTTTTATTGTTGGACAGACACCAACCCATACTGAATAGGCTATGCCGATAATAGTTTGATTGATAAGGAATATATTCTAAATTAAAGCATTATTATAACGATTTGGAGTTAATTTTGGGGACATTGTCATTACAAAATAATATGAAAATAATAAAACATTGCACTATTTTAAAACAACTTTCAGCACCTTAAGATAAAATGACTTTTTGCCTAGACAAGTTAACTTTAAGTAGTTGACTCCAACTACCTCAACTAACCTTTTATTCTATAGTAAAAGAACTCATGTAGCTATTGATCGTTACATTACAGTCAAAATAGTTTGGTGCAAATGATGCAAAAATCATTAATTTGAGGACTTAATGCGGAACTTTTATTTGTGGGATGAGGCTGAAATTTGTGTAGGTTATTCGATGGAATGGAACTTTTATTTTTCTTAATGCGTTGAGATGTGTTTAGCAGCGAGTCACCGACTAAAATTAAATTAAAATTAATTCATATGGACTCTAACTAGGTTTCCTGCAAGATGATATTCCGGATGCATTTTAGAGCATTATTATCCTTCAAAAGTTATGTGACAATCACAAATTCTCTAGGATAACCGAAACTATCTTATGAACATTTTATAATCCTAAAAAAATTACTCCATGCAGTCACAGATTGTAAGTTAGTTCATTATAATCTCAAGTCAGTGAGGAAAAAACAGACAAACTAGTTTTGACAATGAAATTTTAATATATGAAGTTTAATTTTAATTAACGTCTTCAAATAATCGAAGATAATTTTAGCAAGATGCAATGTGATTTTATTGCACAATGGAAATTGAATTGAAAAGAAAGGAAAGAGTTATACTATCTTCATAGCTACAGAGGCGTACATATATATATATGTATGAATGAATGTACATGTTCTATGCTGATTGCTGAACTAAAGTTATTATACATATGTATGATAAAATCCTGGAGAAAAAGTAATTTGAGACTTTTTTTTTCACGAAACACAATAATTTCTTTTTGGTGATGTATGTTGATGAGAATTGGACAACGGAATTGAAGGATCATGATGATTACAACCCTTAATTACTACTCTAAAATTATCTCTTCAAGATTATGAAACTCGTGGCCACAAGTGGACCCTCTTGTGAATTATTGGACTAGTTGAGTCAATAACATCAGTAAACACTTATTTGGGATGGATTAAACTCAAAAACAAGAAGCCATCAGCCATGCTGATTATTTTAATTTCGTGCATTTATTTACTGTAGAAGTAAGCAAATAGGTGTAGGTCCATTAAAATACAGGTGGCACCTTAATATAAAGGTCGCCCAAAAATGCCACCGAAGGTCCTACATTCATCTGGTTTTGTTGGTGTCCTTCTATTTCTAGACAAATCTATTTCATTCTCATTCTCTAATCTCTACTGTTAATATTTTATTCACTATTCAGTGTATTGAAATGTGATTGAATCGTTCCAACCACTCCACAGTGAAGGAACATGGGTGTGGAGTACTATAAGATTTTGCAGGTTGACAAGAATGCCACCGATTAAGAGTTGAAGAAAGCTTACAGAAAGCTTGCCATGAAATGGCACCCTGACAAGAATCCAACCAATAAGAAGGAGTCTGAGACTAAGAGACTAAGTTCAAACAGATATCTGAAGCCTACGAGGTTATCATTAAAGTTTGTTCTCTTTAGATTAGGACTATGGATTAACTTGTTTATGTAGATTATTGTTTGTAGTCCTCTAAATAAGATAATTTTTATTTATTGATGTATGTTTGTCTTTCACAAAAGAAAAATTGAAAACTTTTAGTCTCTTCTATGAAATTAAAAACCATATATTACACATATTCATATAAGAGAAATTAAGAAGGAAATGATTTATTTTTGAAGAATTAAAAGCTAACATTGTCTTATTTGTAGGACTAAGAGTATATTTAACACCTTTTATATTTATTTGCAGAAATAAAGAATCTAAATCAGTGTATTGGTTTGATACAGGTTTTGAGTGATCCTCAAAAGAGGACAATTTTTGATCAATACGGAGAAGAAGGGCTTAAAGGGCAAGTCACAAGTGCCACCTCCAAATACTGGTGGGCCAACATTCTTCCAAACTGGGAATGGCCCAACAACATTCAGGTTCAAACCAAGAAATATACGACATTGTTGCGGAGTTTTTCGGGTTTTCAAGCCCATTTGGAGGTGGTGTGACAGTGGCATGAGCTGTGGTTCCTTTGCTGGAGAAAAATACAAAAACAAAATGAGGCTGGCTACAAGGCCCTCTGCTTCACGATGCTTAAAAAATACAAGGCTCCATTTTGCATGGATAATATACACTAAATCTACTAAACCCATAACCACTTCAAGTCAAGACATGACTTGGAGCTCATGTATTTTGTATAGCTGCAATATAAAAAATGTAATGCAGCTTCAGGTGCAAATCCCTTCATTGAGCGATTAAAAATGGATGTTCTAATCAGAAGAATCTTCAGACAAAGCCGAGTCTGACCCTCCAACATTTACTACCCTATTTGCTATCCCATCTGAACCCTCACTCATAACATCTGCCTCTGAATCCTCCAATTCATTCTCTTCGATGCCATTCTCATTGTCATTATCATCTTCAAAAGCATCCACATCTTCGTCACTCATTCCAACCAAATCCCTACTCCATCTGTTGGAGGGAACACCATTAAAACCTACTTCCCAGTTTCCTTGATCATATTCCACAGCTTGAGCATTGTCGTCATCAGATTCCACCTCTTCAGCACTGTTACTATTGTCAACAACCCCAATGTGTACAGGAGTCATGGGACTTGCCTTTTCGCCATCCCATTCCTCATCGAAGTTTCTCAACGGTTCCCTATCAATCCTGGAGCTATGACTGGCTGTCGTATGACCCAGCAACAAATCTTCAACAGCTCTCTTTCCCACTCTCGGTTTCCTTACAGACCGACCTCGCCCAGCACCTTGTCCTTGTGTTCTTCGTGCCTGATGTTTTAATTTGTGACTTAGATTCTCAGTGACCTTAGCATTCTTGCGTCCACCATCACGTTTGGAATTGTACACTCTTTTAGCCAGCTTTTTACCCCGACCTTGTTCACTAGCCCCCCGTCCACGTTTATTGCCACTTCGTACAATTTTCTTATGAACAGATTTATCTTTAGTGAATTCAATATGGTCAAATTCTGCTGGTTCAACCTCCCTATTAGATTTTGTGTGAGCATATCTCGATGGAAGCTTCTGCAAATAGCAAGTTAGATGCATTAATGTTTCTATTAAATATCATGAGAAATTTCCAAATAAAGATTCGGTCCAAAACATGAAAAAAGGAACATAAATTCAAGAGGAACTTGACATCTAATCTGCTTAGTCGTTTGGATGCGCAATAGCTCAGCCTCAGCATTTTCAGATAAAAATGGAAAGTTGCAGCACTGTTTATGATAACATCGAACCCTGCTATTTAAGACTAAAAGCACTCTACTATAAAGGAAAAATGAGACTCACTATGTATTCTCTTGCTTCTTTCTCCTCACAAGGCTCATGTTCCTCAAACTTTCCGTAGCTGATGGATGAATCAATCTCAAAAAGCCTGAGAGACAAAGCTGCAGTGGTTAGTGGAACCCATGGAAGCACAGCAACAGATTCAGGATCAGTTGAAGCCTGCACAAAGCTTTCTGACATACTGCTTAATCCCAACAATTCATCTGTCGTAGAGAAGTTCGATGACAGAAAATCTCGCCATATTGCTCTCTCAAATAGGGTCAATATCTGCAAAAATAGATTGTTTAATTTACTTACGTCTGAGCAGGCATCTAATGCAGAGATATAGAAGCAAGAACTTTTAAGAATTGAAAGGGCATGCAAAACCTGTAAAAGTTCCTCAACAGAAGATGATTTGCTCAACTTTACACCCCAGTGCTTCCTCATATCATCAGTCCAACTTGTTCCAAATGCTTCAGATAGAACAGATACCTGTAAATCAACATGTGAATACAATATACTCCTCAAAAGTCAAACTATCAGAGGGCACAAAATACCATTTTAAATTTTGATAGAAGGTGAAAGCAGAGTTACCATCAACTCACCTCCATAAAAGCCAACAGGACCTTAAGTAATCTTGTTCGCAAGGGAAGCGAATATTCCAAAAAACAATCATCTTTGGATAACTTATCACGACACTGAAATGCATGTTTAGAAAAATTAAATCCAGTATTCGAGGGAAAAGTCCGGTGGCAGGAATTGCAATGGGAGTCTTCAACAAAATAAGGATTGAGGCAGGCATCACAAATGTCCATCTGAGGTTTGCATCTCTTTATCCCATATCTCATTGCACATAAAACTGATGAATTATAGCATTCTTTCCACAACCACTTCTGAAAATCTTGATATCTTCTCCAGGCAGATTTCTTCTCACACTCAGTTTTCCCAAGCTCAATTTTGAAGGATGATGAAGTTTCAGATATATCAGGGTTCAAGTCATGAAGGGTACTGCTAGGACTGTCGGATCCAGCATTGTGGTCAGGGATAGAATATGTTTCATTAGCTTCAATTTTAACAGAAACTTCGCCTCTGCTTCCATTCTTGGCACATCGTGCGTTCTTCTTTCGAACATTTTCTTTAAAGGAATTCTCAATCTTTTGCAACATCAAGCGCAAATGAGATTCCCTGATCCCGCGAGAATCCAATGACGTCAAAAGAGCATCAAAGGCCTGCATTGCAATTGTAGAATAAATAATATTGTAACAACTATGACAAAAAAAAAATAAAGTAATTAATTTTTACACAAAATTGGCACCTAAAGATTTAAATGAATCACAAATTCAATAATATTCCCATGGCAGTATCAATAAATTGTTGGTAAAGAAAAAAGGAACTTTGATAAAAGGTTAAAAGATATACAAAAGAGTTACCATGATTCCATGAATATAATAAGGATGGGGCAAATGTCTAAAAGTTAGATGCTATACTCATTCTAATGATCGGATATTGATGGGAAAAAATTAAATTTAGGGGAAAAGTATCTTAGGAATTAGAATGTCTAAAAGTAAAAGGAGACTTGTTGTGTCCTAACATACATGACATTAAAGCATGCACCGACACTGAAATATAATAAACATGTCAAAATCAATGTACAATTTAGTCGATAAGCTTAAGTATAGAATAAACAATTTACCTCTTCAGAATCAATAAGCCTCCACTTCCCATCATGATATTCAACAAAGATCCTGCCAGAACCAGGATCATTGCTGGAAGCAGAAGCAACAAACTGCCAATATCGATTTCGTCTGCGATCTTGGCCAAGGGGTAAAGACCTGTAAACATACATCTCCTCTGCCATGTGGGCAATATAAGATTTCAACTGTGAACGTGATCTTTTTGAATATTGTGCAGGTACCTGAGTATGAGGGATGTCTGCACAAGTACCCGTGCCAAGATCTTGAATTGACGAGGACTTCTCCATAGGCATGTTCTGTGAAACAGGAGCTCCCTTTTGGTTTTCTGCAGTGCTGGGTGATGCTTCATTATTAATATTGTTAATATTAATGTCAAGCATTGGGCTTTGGTTGTCCCCCACAGCTGGATATGTGTATTGTGTTTCAACCTTATTCCCAGTAAGTGATGGAAAATCTGATTTACCAATAATATCATCTTTCAGACGAACTTTATCTATCTGTGCTTCTGCCCACATTTGTTTCTTCAGAGCATTTGCTGATTCCAGTCGATCCTAAAAAACTCTCCATGTCAACTTAAAAACTAAACAAAACTAAACACAAGGTATTCATTACACAGAAAAGAATTCACCTCAAGAACAACACGGATTGAATTTCCTTCATTTGCTACACCAACCAACACGACAAGAGCATTTAGACGCTCCTCTACACTGAGATCAGAATATTCTCCTTCAGCAAGCCCTAGAATCCAGGACTCTCCTGATTTGCTTTCATCAATTTCCATATTATCTTGAACAAGATTTCCAGCATTTAAATCTTCACAAGCAACAGGTTGTCGAGTGACAGAACTGAGACAATCAGCATCTGTAGAAACATTCTTAAGAAAACAAGGTAGATCCGTATCAAACTCATTTTGAATAAGATCTACATTGTGACCCAAATTTTCTTTTCCATTTGATGAGCAAATGTTTGTGTCAACATACTGTTCAGAATTTTGGTTTGCACTTGAAGGATTTACTAAATCATCATCTTCAGGATCCTCGTCAACTTCATCACTTTCTGATTCATCTTCTCTCTCAACATCATCAGCATCTTCACCAGCTAGAAACCCATTTTCAAATATTTGAATTTTCTTTCTTGCTTCTGAAAGAATGTTCTCAGCATCAGAAGGATTCTTCCTGAAAGCAGTCCGTACACAATATGTTGATGGAGCTATTCTTTCAAACAATTTAGTGTCTCTTGTCAAAGCAACAGAAATTGATGCTTCAGGTGTCTTGCTGGTTGTCAAGTCCCGAAGACCAGATTTCTGACAGCAAAAGAGACATAAAAACAAATGTCAGTTTTTCGGAAAGCACTTTATAATTACAGTTAATACAAAGGTAAACCATTCACCTGGATTTTATCTGCAAGCTCTAGTACTGTCAAACCCTTACTACCCTCAAGTGAGAGAACATGAAAAGCTGCAAATTTAACTGTTCCAGGAGTTAACCTGTGCCTTGATCTTCGAGGAGCTAACAGACCTCTCTCTTGCATTTTGGCCACGGCACTTTCAGCTCCTGAACCATTACGGAGTGTAGAAATGATATCTTCGCAACTTTTTCCCTGGAGTTATAAATACATTTTGAACCACCAAATCAAAGGCAGAAAAGTAAGACCAAATTATACATTGTTAATTTAAAATGTGTGCAAAATCATAAATCCTCAGAAAAAGTATTCAATGGCAACAAAAAGCTTTATACAGATCCAGTGAACTGAGATGATATCACAAAATATGTTTCAGACTATAGGCAGCAAAATATGGCAGTCTTCAGTTAACATAGGAATCTGAGCTGAAACTAATACAAAAAATAAAGAAAATGAACCTCGTCTTTATCAATTGCATAGGACCATGTAATATTTCTTTTCTTCAGCTGCGGTCCTAATCCTGCAGATAGTACTAACTGCCGGAAAATTTCAGGCCATGTCAACTGATTCAAGTTCTTCTGCCAATTTCGTATATCAAAGCCCCATGCATATGCCTAAAACATAACAAACACAACATTGTCAGAGTCAACAGTCTAGGATAAATCTATTATTTGTCTTAAAAGGAAAGATAAAATTTAAGATACATTTCAACTTACTCCTTCCACAATCAATGGATGCCCACCTCCGGGATTAGCGGCTCCATTCTGGTTCATCCCTATTCCTGTAGAAGGTGTCCTTGCAACATCTTCAATGTCTTTTATTATCACCTTGAGCAGAGCAACATGTATCTCACCCAACAATCTAGAATCCTGCAATCGAAATGGTTTGAATTACTTGAATCTGAATAATTTTCATGTTATTGAATTGATGGATACAATAAAATAAATAGGCATAAAACATAATCAATCCCTAAAGTTTAGGGATTTAGATAAAACTAACTAAGGAAACTAAACTAGAAATTAGGAGAGGATAAACTAGTATATCTAAACTATATCTTATAGAATTATCTTAACACTCCCCCTCAAGCTGGAGCATATATATCATATGCATCTAGCTTGTTACATATATATGTTATCCTAGGACCTCGTAAAGATTTAGTAAAGATATCTGCAAGTTGATCCTTGGAGCAAACTGAGGAGGTCTTGATGATACCGGAGAGGATCTTTTCTCTGATGAAATGGCAGTCAACCTCTATATGCTTTGTTCTCTCATGAAAAACTGGATTAGAGGAGAGGTATAAAGCTGACTGGTTATCACAAACTAGTTCCATATGACCAACCTTGCAAAACTGCAACTCTTGAATTAAGAATTTTAGCCACAAGAGCTCACATGTGGTGTGAGCCATAGCACGGTATTCTGCTTCTGTACTTGATCGTGCAACAACACTTTGCTTTTTACTCTTCCATGAGACAAGATTACCACCCATGAAGACACAATAGCCTGATGTTGACCGCCTATCACTTGCATCACCTGCCCAATCTGCATCTGAATATCCAACAATGTTTGTATGTCCTCTATCATTGTAAACAAGTCCTTTTCCTGGTGATCTTTTGATGTATCTAAGGATTCGAACAACTGCAAGCCAATGACTCTCACAGGGAGAGTTAAGAAACTGACTTACAACACTGACAGGAAAGGATATATCAGGTCTGGTCATGGTGAGATAATTCAATTTTCCCACTAATCTCCGATATCTCCCTGGGTCAGGATAAGGCTCCCCCTGATTAGGCATAAGCTTCACATTAGGATCCATGGGAGTGTCAACTGGCTTACAATCTGTAAGTCCGGTCTCTTCTAGAATATCAAGGGCATATTTTCTCTGAGAAATAGCAATACCGGACTTTGACTGAGCGACCTCAATCCCGAGGAAATAACGTAGGGGACCTAAATCCTTAGTTTGAAAGTGTTTAAATAAGTGTTGCTTCAGTGCCTTGATGCCCTCCTGATCATCACCTGTAATCACAATATCATCTACATAAACAACAAGATAGATAAATCTATGTGTCGATGAGCGTCTAAAGAAGACAGAGTGGTCTGTCTCGCAGCGGATCATTCCAAATTCCTGTATAACTTTGCTAAACCGACCAAACCAAGCACGAGGTGATTGTTTGAGGCCATACAAGGACTTTTGTAATTTACATACAAGACCAGACCCCCCTTGAGCAACAAACCCAGGAGGTTGATCCATATAAATCTCCTCCTCCAAATCACCATGTAAGAAGGCATTTTTGATGTCTAATTGAAACAAAGGCCAATGCCTCATAGCAGCCATAGCTAAGAAGAGACGAACTGAGGCCATCTTCGCAACTGGAGAGAAGGTGTCGCTGTAATCCAAACCATATACTTGCGTGTATCCCTTAGCCACAAGACGAGCTTTCAATCTATCCACCTGTCCATCAGGGCCCACTTTAACATTAAATACCCACCGACAACCAACAACAGATTTTCCAGGCGGAGGTGGGACAAGTACCCAAGTGTGGTTGGAGTCTAAAGCTGTCATCTCATCAATCATTGCTTGTCGCCATCCTGGATGGGTTAAGGCCTCCTGTACTGTCTTGGGAATGGTAATAGAGGAAATAGCAGAGACAAAAGCATAATAGGTAGGAGACAAACGATGATATGAAAGAAAGTTATAAATAGGATGAGGATTACAAGTAGAACGACTACCTTTACGAAGAGCAATGGGCAAGTCAACTGAGGTAGGTGGGGCCGGAGTAGGTGAGGAGACTGAAGCAGGAGTAGAATCACATGGCTCAATTGAAGAATCATTGGGAGGAACAACAGTATGTGATCGACGCTCATAGGTTATCCCAAATCGGTGTAGAGGATGGTCAGACCCTGGTAGTGCGGGAGGATCTGGTGCCTCTAAAGTAGCAGGTGTGGTAGGAGGCACACTATGATCAAAATGAGGAATAGGCAATACCTGAGAGAGGAGATCTGAGTCAACCGGAGAAACATCTGTGGCAATAAAATATGGTGTATCTTCAAAGAAAGTGACATCTGCACTGGTGTAAAATCGATGCGTAGCAGGAGAGTAACAACGATACCCCTTTTGAACACGGGAGTATCCTAAGAAAACACATTTGATGGCCCGAGCAGACAACTTAGCACGTCCTGAGAAAAGATCATGGACAAAACAGGTACAACCAAAGACACGAGGATGAACAGAATAAAGGGGATCCAATGGGTATAATAGGGAATGAGGTACTTGATCATTCAAGACAGACGATGGCATTCGATTTATTAAATACCCTGCAGTGAGGACAGCATCGGCCCACAACTTTGGGGGTGCATTGGCATTCAATAAAAGAGTACGAGCAGTGTCCACAATATGTCTATGTTTTCGCTCAGCTACACCATTTTGTTGAGGTGTATGAGGGCAACTAGATTGATGTAGAATGCCATGGGAAGCCATAAATGATTTGAAGCAATCTGAAAAATATTCTTTAGCATTATCACTTCGTAAAATCCGAATTACTTTGCCAAATTGAGTTTTGATCTCCGAATAGAAACTTAGGAAAATATTGAATAACTCAGAACGATTTTTCATCAAAAATATCCAAGTACATCTAGAAAAATCATCAATAAAGGTGACGTAATACCTATGCCCCAAAAGAGAAGGAACACGACTAGGACCCCAAACATCAGAATGAATAACATCAAAAGGAGACATAGCTCGAGTATTAACACTATTAGGAAAAGAAGCTCTAACATGCTTTCCTAATTGACACGACTCACACTCTAAAGATTCTAACCGTGAGAGATGAGGTACCATTTTCTTTAATTTATTCAAGCTTGGATGACCCAGGCGACGATGGATTAAACCAGGAGACTCAATAGATGCACATATGGTAGAGGTAGAAGGCTGAAGGTAGTAGAGACCATGTGATTCAGATCCAGCTCCAATCGACTGTCCCGTACTCCGGTCCTGTATCAAGAAAGAATCAAAAATGAAGGTTATGACATAGTTTAGTGACCGAGTCAACTTACTTATAAAAATCAAATTAAAGGACATCCAGGAACTAGTAAAACAGATTTTAATGGTAGTGATGGAAGAGGTGATATTTGACCAATACCAGTGGCTTGAACTTTTGACCCATCTGCAAGAGTGATATGATGTGGAGTTTTAGGTGATGATAGGTTACGGAAAAGGGAGACATTACCAGTTAGGTGATCAGAAGCACCGGAGTCCAAAACCCAAGGTCCAATAGACGTAGAATGAGAGAGACAGACTCTAGAATTACCAGTATGAGCAACAGTGATGGAGGAAGGGGCCTGTTTAGTCGCCTTTAGTTGAAGATACTCTTTGTAATCATCAGCAGATAATGTGATTGGATGATTGCTCTTGGGTTCAATCTTGACTTCTAGAACCGAAGTCGGAGATTGAGCCACTTTGGCAGTAGGTACAATGGAGGTTTCCTCTACCCCCATTACCACGAACACGACCTCGACCACGCCCTCGACTTCCACAGTCAGTTGAACTAGGGATAAAAGAAGAGGGTGTGCCATTCTTGGAAATCTCTGCCAGGAAGAGAAAAAGGAAAAAAAAAGCAAAAAAAAAAAAAAACACTTCCAAACAATCCGAAAAGACCTCCGAGACAGCAACCAAACAGTCTCGAAATTCCATGGCAGCACCCAAACAACCACGAAAATCCAAACAACAACCAAACGACCACCTACAGTGTGACCCACAACCTAAAAAGGGTCAAAACAAGAAGAGGGAGGGCCGGCGAGTCCAACGGTGCAAACGGCGTCACAAACGGAGGCCTGGAGGGCGTCGCGTGAACCCCACGCGCCGGCGAGTTTTCTGACAAAAACCGCACGTGAGAGTGCGTGAGACACCGTTCTAGAGGCGGCTCGAGACGGAAAGGCCGATCGGCGACCTTTGAACACTCAGGCGGCGTCAACTCCGACAACCGCTGACAAAATTCGAAAAACCCTAGATGCCTTGGTGGCAACTGGGTTAGGGTTTCCAAACCAGGACCAGAATGCTCTGGTACCAACTTGAATCTGAATAATTTTCATGTTATTGAATTGATGGATACAATAAAATAAATAGGCATAAAACATAATCAATCCCTAAAGTTTAGGGATTTAGATAAAACTAACTAAGGAAACTAAACTAGAAATTAGGAGAAGATAAACTAGTATATCTAAACTATATCTTATAGAATTATCTTAACAGAATTGAACATACATAATGAGCAAAGAGTACACAAAAATGCAGTTCATATGCAGCACAAAATCAATACGGAAGGCCAGATTTACTCACATAGTCATGAAATGCCTGTACAAACTCATCAATAGTAAAAGGCCATAATTCAAGGACATCAGCAAAAGTAATCAAGAATTTCCAAACCTGAAATAGAGTAACAGACCACAGCTTTCAAACTTCAAATTCAGAATCCTCAATTAAACATATAAAACAAATAAAAAACATGAATGAACTGACATAAACCACTGTCAGAAACTGTGAAAGGGTAAAAGTCCCCTTTCCCCTATTGACAGTATCAGAACTGGAGATAACAGGTTCAGAGCAACATTAACCTACCATATAACAATAAATGAGTGACAATACCAACATACCATGAGAAGGTTGCCAACATTCTGTTCTGAGTTAATCCAGGGTTGGATGGCAAATGGCTTTCTCAGCTTTACACTTTTGGGTGGAAATACACACAATGAATCTACAGTACAACATGTATCAGTAATAGAACCCAATTACCAAACACTATTGAAAGTAATATCATGATAATTGCTCACCCCTAAATGATTCAAGGTTTTGCAAAGCATCAAGATCAATATGAATAATAGAAGAAAGCCCCTTGCTTGCAGCGGCCAACTCCATCAATTCCAACTGTTCATCCTCAATAAGCTCCATAGATTCTTTAGCCATTCTACGAGCATTTGCCTTCTCAAGGGCAGCTTTCTTCCTCTCTTCCTCTTTCTCCTTGCGAATCTCTTCTTTTAGCCTCTTTTTCTCGGCCTTTTGAAAGAAAGACCACAAGAAAAAGGATAGTAGGGTACATAAAAAATCCACAGATGTTTGAATATTTTTCAAAGGAACGCTAAAACCAACAGTCTTTAAAAACTTACTCTTAAATGTTCTTTCAACAATAATTTTTCCCTTCGTTCCATTTCCCGTCTTTGCTCACGCTTTGATCTTTCCTCTTCTCGTTGTTTCTCACGTATCAACCTCTCTTCTTCCTTCCTTCTTTCACGATCTTGCCTTTCCATTTCCGCTCTTCACTCTGAAGGGGAGAGGGAAAATAGATGGGTAAGCTAAAGATAAGAGGATGCCTTTTAAATTCTACACAACATATGGTGGCACAGTGACAGGCAAAAATCATTTTAATAAAACCTTTCGTCTGAGGTTATCTTGCTTCTCAAGATCTTTTCGCATCCTCATTTCATAGGCTTCAACTTCCTTAGCAACTTTAGCTTCATCACTCTTCATAAATAATGTCAGCAATATATATCATCCTCCGTAAAAATATTGTATTAACGTAGTTAAGGAAACTGACATCAAACAATAATTAGGGAAAAGTACAAATTCAATTAATACCTTCCGTTTCCTCTCCATCCTCAATATTGCATCGTTATGGTTAACTTGGCCACCAGGTAAGGCATAAGAATTTTCTTGTCCAATAATTGGGTGATCAGAAAAGTGAGAGTTCATTCCAGTATTGGTTATGTTTGTGTGAGGTTCCCTTTTGGGTTCTCCATCATTATCTCGAGGAGGAGATGGATAGGGAATCACTTGCTTTTCCTGTTGAGACAAAAGACGAACACGAGAAGAATGACCTTGGGGAGCATGAATTCTGGGTTGCTGTTCATTTCCAAGGGGAAAAGGAGTTCTGGAGGGAGCCTCAATTGGATCATGTAAATGAGGTAGGTTCAGTTGTCCAAAAACATCAGATCTAATGCCAGACTGGTTTGGAAGAAAAGGATATTCATGGAATGTCCTTGCCATTGTCTGAAATGGAGACCATTTAAAATCAAAATATCATATAAAACAACCAACCAGCAAGATTTGGACAGTAAGTATAATGTAAATATGCATAAATAATACCAACTTTTTTCACAAACTACTAAAGGAAACTGAGGAAAGACTGTTTGTATTAAAAGAGCATTTAAAAACATTATGGGCATGAAAAGATTGGACAAAATACACCCATGACTAGAATAAAGAATCAAACAGCATACCAAGTGAATACCCAAGTCGAAACATCTACATTAAATCTCTTCCTTTTACACAAAAGAAATCCAAATAAAGGATAGAGATTAAAGTAATAATATGCACCATATCACAACTCGAGCTGATAGATCCAGCATGCCATTCACAAAAATGTGAAGTCATAAAGTACATAATAAGAAAAGGAATACCATTATATACAACATGAAGGAAAAGCATTTAAAAAGGCACCAATCTTGATAACTAATTCACACAATCATGATTAAAAAAGGGTTTTCTTTTGACATGTAGCTCAATCATAGTTATCAATTCCAGACACCAATGTGTAGCAACTGGCACTGGAAATGCTATATAGCAGGATAGAGCATAGCAAGACAAACACTACTTTAAAATTTTGTATGCATATACATAATTGATAAATATAACCAATTAATACTATATACTTGGTTAAATAAATAATGCTCCAAAATTATAATCAATTCCCAAATGATGGAAAAGTGGCAGGAGACAGTGAAGGTACAAAGGTAAGTAAACAGACCAACAGAGAGAAGACATGGCCTATTTTGTTTCGAAGTGAAGGCCACACCACATTAACAGTGACCTGAGATGCAGTGATCTCTCGCAAAGATGGCTGGGCTGACAGAAGACGTGCTTCGATGAGAAGAAAAAGAGAGAACTGAGGAATGTCTTATTCATTGACGAAGGGGGGATTAGGGTTTTATATTTTTCGGTCTGACCGAGGCTAAATGTCATTTTTATACTGGAGCAGGGGTAAAATTGGAATTTTGTCACACATCAAGATTGCACCACCATTGTGTGCAACAGACCCGGTGACCCACAATCTGGGCCACAATAACGAAAACACTACGCAATGGCCGCTCCACACAATATTAAGCGTTATCAATATAACCCAGAGCTCGATACATGACTAATTTGATGGAAAATGGGATACTAAATCTTGGGCTTAGGCCCAACAATTGGGATGGGTGTTACCTCATTTTTGTGAAACCACTCAGCCAAAAACTCTGATGAGTGAACCAGAGCCGGATGAAACATTGCTCGAACAAAAGGAGACAATGTTGGAACATTTTCTTTAAGGAGTAGCCTAGAGGAAGGTGTGAGATCATACCCCACTTCTTCTTTATCTTCTTTTATAACCTTGCTTGTCACAAAGAAGCCAGCATGCACCAACAAGCGCATGAGCCTATACACATAACCTGATTTATTAGGGTTGATCTCAAGTGCCAAGACCAACTCAGGAATAGTAATTGGTTGGCCATGCTTTGAGATTACGTCTGGTATTCCCAAATGAACTGCACTTTTGAGAGACATGGAACCAATGAAGCTATAAGTGTAGTTATATAAAAGGGCCTGAGCCTGAAACAACTCTTCAACATCCATCTTTTGCATAATTCTCTTCTTTAGATCACTTCTGCTTTTTATAACAAACAAAACCGCAACTGATCTGAATTAGTAGGTTGTTGTTGTTTTGTTATTCCTTGACTTTTGACTTCTAGAAAAGTATGAGTTTCACTTTCTTCTGCCAAAGAAAGCCGTGACTGAAATACAAGACCAGAATCGTTGAAGTTGAACCAACGCTCGTTAATTATTATTTTTCATTAATTGTACAACTAGTAGAGGTGACTTTTGACTTTTTATATAAACAAAATGAGGGTCAGTTTCTTCTATCGCAAAAGTAACTTAGTTGAAGAAGAACTAGATTTACTAATCCAAATTATATTAGTTAAATTTTGGTCATAGCATGGAATAATTTGCAGGGTAATTAATAACTTGAATTGTGCTGATGTTAAAACTTATTATTTGACTTTCAATAATAAAAATAATTTTTCATTAAGATGGAGAAGCCATTTTTCAATCTATATATATAATTCAGCCTCTACCTCTCCAATCATTCAAGAAAGGGAGTGTTGATTGATAATGAGTGGAGTAATTAATTTATAACAAAAATTACACTTACAACTCTGATAAGTAGTATCAACCGAAATGCAATCAAATCACCAAAGTAAAAATCTCAAATATGGGACTAGTCATCAGAGTTAACATAGATAAAGCATTTAACCACCAGAAAGAAGTTACACATAATAGTTGACCACTAAGCATTAGTAAACTAAACAAGACTTATGATGAGTGTCAATCCTATAAAATTGATTTCTACTCCTTTTAGAAAATGATTCGAGTAAAGTTGAATCCAGAGGGAGAATTCGAGTAGAAAATTAAAATTAGAAAAAAAAATAAACAAAACAGTAAGCAAAACAAGGAGATTATAAGGTTCAACAAAAGTTATCAAGGTATAATCTTACATCCAATTCTTAGGATCAACTATTGGTTCAAAGATATGTCTTTTCCCTTAAAACAAAATGATCCTAGTCATTAACAAACTCTAATAATAATAAATGTCCTGTTGGGATACAAACAAGTCCCGCATCGATAAAATATGACAAATAATAATAACTTATATAATACAAACATACTTCAATGATTGAGAGACCTTTTGGGTGATGACTAAAAGCAAAACCGTGAGGGCTAAGTCCCAAAGCGGACAATGACTAGGGTTTTGCAACACTCATGTTGTGTTAAATTTACATTTGGAACGACTCGTTCTAGTTGCAAAATTAACACATAACACCTATGCATCTACGTGACATTCACGTCAGCAGGAGTTAACCCGTTTAAATCATTTGGACGGAAATCTCAAATTGCAATGATTTAAATTATTGAGGATTAAATTGAAACTTAAAATTAAAGTGAAACTAAATTGAAACAAAAAAATATTATCAGAGATCAAAAAAGATATTTAACCTAAAATAAATGTGTTAGAGCGTTGGTGGAACTACTCTCACATTCTCACCGAATAATGCTATTTGGTACGAATTATTCATTACGAAAGCATTTATGAAGGTTGTTGTTTATTTTTTCATTGGTTGAAAATTAAATAAAAAATGATAATAATATGAGGAGTTTGAGCTTGACATAAAATATGCAAGATTCATGAATTTCTAATTTTCGTATGTTTTCGTCTGGTACTATTTAACATTTCTCTCCCTGATTTGCAAATTAATATTTTTTAAAATGAATTTTAATTTGTCAAAAAAATACAAATACATTTGATATTTAAAGTTTAAAATTTTATGCAAACTAGCATAATGAAAAACAGATATTTTAAAATTTGTATATGAGTTAATTACCTATAATGTAAAATATAAATTTAGGCGTGTAATTTAGTGGTGGTGATCCGATGAATGTGTTTGTGCAGGCGTCGGAAGAGATGAGAAGTGAAGGGTGAATTGGTGTGTGAGTTTCGCGGAAGCTGCAAGCGTTGATGATTGAGTTGAAGCTAGGTCCATGTCTATGCGCGTGTTCACCAAGAATAACAACATTTAGCATTTGGTAGTTGCTGCATCTGAATCGAAGCATGGCTCTTCCACTCGTGAAGCTCGGAACTCTCGCCCTCAAAACCCTCAGCAAACCCGTCGCCAGTAGGCTCAAGCAGCAGGCCGCTCTTCACCCCAGGTTCCGCCACATCATCGTTAGCATGGCGCAGGTAGCTGCCTTCATTCCCTTCTTTCTTCAATTTCAACTCTCGCTCGCACGCTTTTTTCATTCATACTCATGATTTTGCAATCAGGCCAACCATCAAATCACCACCAAGATGCAGAGGCGCATCTAAAATAGTTATTACAACAAATAATTAGATACATTTTTTTTTTATATTTAGACTGTGGAGTTATATAAAATTAAAGAGTTTTTCTTCTCAAAATGTAATATAATTTGAGATTGTAGACACCCAATTTTGTCCGGAGCATACAAACAAAGAAATGGACTTTAGAAATTGACTTTCATATTCAATGAAAAGGAGCTCCTAAGTATAGAAACAACCGGACATGACAACAAGGAAGCTTGAAGCCCAAAAAAGTTGTTTTTAGTAGCCCAGAACGGGCTGTTCCAAAATCGGAACGAACCATTCCAAGTTACTAAAAAAACCTAAAACCTTAGTTTAAAACAGGTCATTTCAGCATAGGCAGTTACATGTAAAACTCAACCCTAGAACAGACCGTTATAGTTTAAGAACGGACCGTTGCAGATGCGAAATTAACACATAACGTACAGATCCAAAACGGGTCGCTCCGAATCTGGAACGAGTCATTCTGGTCAATTCTGATGTCTATAAATAAACGACTCAGGCACAGTTTTCAGGACCTGAAAATTTCAGACAAAACTCCTTTGAGCTCGAAATTTCTCTCTCTCTCTCTCCATCCTATTGTATTTCTTGATATTTGTGAGGTATATTGTAGTGTGAAAGGTTGTCACAAAGCACCTAGAACTTCCATATTTGGAAGATCTAACAAAGCTTGCTACAAGGTATTTCAATCAATCTTTTCCTCTCTTTTATTTCTGATCTTTAATAGTCTTCTCTCTATTTTATTTTTCATCTTTAATAGACATTGTTATAACAAAAGCAATCATGTAGACATTTCAGGATCAATTGTGTAACTTCAATTTCAAGCATGTAAATAACTATTGATAAAGGAGATTAAATATTTAACTTATTAATTCTTACTATACTAACTTCATCACAATGGTATTGATTGAGGGCATTATAGGGGTGCTTAATATCTTCCCTACACGTAACCGATCCCCGAACCCAATTTTGGTTATCAAGGCCATTATTGGACTTTCGAAAACTTTTTCTTTTTCCAATGTTTTGAGTAAAACATCAGTGGCGACTCCTAAGAACCTATTTTTCAAAATCATTAATCAACGATTAGTCTGGTGTCCAGGCATTCCTTAATTGATGAGATTTTCGAAAGGATGTCTAAACCATAGGTCGCAAGATAAAAAATTTTTGGGTTGTGACAAGGACCAATTCAACATTTGAATTTTTTTTTATCATCTTTGAATCGTACATTGTTTATGAGTCTATGATAATAGTTTGAAATTTGGTTGGTGTGTGGACACTTTTTAAGTTCTTGAAATTTGCTAAATCAATTATAATATGTGATATAAGATGAGGTATTCAACTTATGGTCAAGGGAAGAAATGATTCAACAAACAAAAGTGTGTCAATCCTCACTTCGAGGGATTAAGTCAAATGGTATAAGTTTGGTCAATAGATGCAAAGTTTGTCATAAATATTTGTAATTTTTTCTTTTATTTTTAATAATAGTGGTAGAAAAAAAAAATAATAACATCCCTAATCTTGTTAAATACACCTTAAGAACTTGTGATTTTTCTTAAGTAGTACATGTGTGGTCCTCCTTGAAAAACATTTTAAGTTTGAATTTTATGTACTCAACAAGAAAATATTACATTAATAGTATTCAACTAAATGTTATTAATTCATTTGTGGGATAATTCATGAATCATCAAATCGTGTGAATATGTGATTTAAGTAATTTAAAAAATAATAATTTTAACATAACTTTTGACTCAGGTTAATTAGATAATAAATAACTTTTGATGATTCAAGTAATTCATATTTTTTCTAGGATTTTAATAGGCATCGAGAAAGAGAGACATACACTAAACATTGATGGACATGATTTAAGATAAACTATTTGTTCACTTGGTGATTATTAAGATGAATATATGTGTGTATTATATATATATATATATATAAGGAAAATCATTCCATAGACTCTTGCTACTTCAAACATGGATTCCCTCCCGATTTCAAATTCAAAAACAAAGGGAACTTTGCTTCCCTAAACACTATCAGCAGAAGGGGTGGCAAATCGAGTCAGCACAGCCCGGTCCGCCAATAGCCCGTCAAAAATGGGCCAGCCTAGGTTGGGCCGTCAATAGAAAAACACGTTGGGATAGCTAGCCCGCCCCGCCTAAGGACGGGCTAGCGGGTCGGCGGGCCAGCCCGCATACCACAAAAAAATATTACAAAAAAATTATTAAAAAAAATTATGTTCAAATAAAAAAAAAACTGCTAGAAATAAATAAATATAATCATATGAAATTAAAAACTAATACATTTTATATATAATATATGTTCAACAAAAAAAAATTACAAACTTATAACAAAATCAAATAGAAATTAGTCCACTTACACCAAAATCAAAACCAAATTATAGACTTACAAATTACTAATAAACTAAATTTTTGATCGTCCACAAAACAAGTCCAAACACAATTAATCAACTTTATCAAGAACATTAGAAGCTCCATTATAAGATAAATAAATTAAAATAAAAAAAATTAAATATAAAAAATTTAAAATATGCAGGTTGGCAGGTTGTGACAGGCCAGCCCGCTATTTGGCCCAACGGGCTGACAAGTTTGGCGGGTTGAAATATTGGACCCGGTCCGCTAATTTTTGGCGGGCTAACAAGTCGGCCCACGGGTCAGAGCCTATTTTGCCATCCCCAATCAAC